GAGCTAGGTTTACCATCAGGACAGACCATGCTGCATTACGCTGGTTAAGATCATTAAGAACCAAGAGGGACAAGTGGCACGTTGGATTGGAAAGATAGACCAGTATAATTATGATATTGAATACAGAGAAGGAAAATCTCTTGGAGCATTCTAGGGACTGAGCCGAAGACCCTGCAAAAATGACTGCAGACATTGTTGCAAAAGAGAGGTTGAACTAACCAGGTGCCATCAAGCTGAAGTCAAAGTGACTGAAGGAGTTGATGATGGTGAAGTGGAGCCAGGTATAGATATTAAAGCAAAACAGGAGAAAGAACAAGATTTGAAGCCAATAATTAATTTTCTACAATCAATTGTTTTGTGCCATGCTTGGGAGAAGGTGTCTAGCTTAAGCCTTGTGACAAAACTATTGGGCACAATGGGACCAGTTGAAGCTTGAAGATGGTATTCTTCTCCAGAGGTGGGAAACTGCAGATGGGAAAGTGACGACCTGGCAAACAGTTATACCAAGAAATGTACGGGAAGTTGTGCTGCGTCAATCCCATGATAGTTTAACAGGAGTACATATCAGAGTTAAGAAGACCTTGAGTCACCTACGACAGAGATTTTACTGGATAGGTATGAGGAAAGGTGTGGAAGAATGGTACAGGACCTGCAGTAAATGTTGTGTTAAAAGAGGACCCAAGCATAAGGGACATGCTCCAATGAAGTTATATCAAATTTGCACACCAATGGAAAGAATAGCCATTGATATTGCTGGTTCTTTGCCCCAAACTTGTGCTGGTAACAGGTACATTTGTGTGGTGATGGATTATTTCACCAAGTGGCTTGAGACATATGCAATACCAAATCAGGAAGCTACAACTATATCTTTGGCTATTAGTGATTTCTTCTTCGGGTTTGGTATGCCATTCAAACTGCATTCAGATCAAGGCCGTAACTTTGAATCAGCTGTGTTCCACGAATGCTGCAAGTTGTTTGGCATACGAAAGACCAGCACAACGCCACTCCACCCACAGTTTGATGGGATGGTAGAAAAGTACAATTGGACACTTGGACAGGTATTGGCAAAGTTTTGTAATAGACATCAAGATGACTGGGATGTATTACTCCCCCCACTGTTGATGGCCTATAGAACAGCAGAGCATTAAGCC